GAGGGCGCCAGGCCCACGGGGAGGGGGGGAGGGGGGACAGAGGCTGTGGGAGCAGCTGCAGCAGGGTCTCCGTCAGACCTGGGCCATGATGGAAAGCGGGGTGTCCACAGCGTGCACGTGGAAGCCCTGAGCCCCCATCCCCCCATGAGCCAGGAAAAGGGGGGCTCCTGACTCACCAAACTCAGGGAGAGCATTTGGTTTGGGGCGTGGGCCGGGAGGACGGGCCAAGCACGTCACCATCGTCAGACCAAACCGTCCCCCAGGGAGCCCCCAATCCAGACCCACTAAAAGGGGGTGACGGGAGCCCTCGGGAATGTGGCTGACAACATAAGCGTGGCCCAGGCCGGAGGCGGGTGTGAGGGCCAGGCCCCCCACCTCCCCCCCAAGCCCTACCCCCACCCCCGAGCGAGCATGTGGGTGGCTTAAGCCGGCACCTAGAACGGCTCTTCCTAGAGCCTGGGTCCAGCCCACCCGGAAGAGCCATGCTCTCAGCCCCCCTCATGCAGAGCCGACACCCCGAGACCAGCAGGCTCAGAGTGTGGCCGGGGCCAGAAGATCGGGGGGTAGGCTGTTATGACAACGGCAGCCATTGCACTGAGCACCCTAGGAGCCAAGCGCCGAGCACACAGCACGCGATGCCAGCACTTCAATCACACACAATGCGGGGCAGGTCCAACGCGGCCCCATTTCACAGATGATGAAACTGAGGCCCAGTGAGAAACCCTTCTGATCTCCAGGCTCCAAGGAGGGAGAGAGACAAGGGCTGGGTCCTCCCGTCCAGGGGGACATCTCATGTGCACCCCAATAGTCACCGCAGACCCCCTGCCCTGGCCGCACCCTGAAGCAAGAAAAGGGTGGGTTGTGGGGTACTGATGGTGGGACATTCCTGAGCCCGGCCAAGTGAGGGACTAGGTGTGGGGTGTGGGGGCAGGGAGGACAGGGCAGCTCCGCAAACACGCCCTGAGCGCCGGCTCTCTACTGAGCACGAGGGCGAGAGACCAGACGAGACCCAGCGCGGCCTGCAAGGAGCCCAGGGAGGGGCAGCTGGGCCGGGCGCGAGGGCAGGGCCGCCTGCTCAGGAAGAGAAGGGCGCGTGCGTTGGCTGTGCTGCGCAGCTAACGCGGGCCGGGAGCCACTCCCTCCGCAAAGGGAGCAGGAGGGAGATGTAAGCTGGGTTTTGAGGGATGAATAGGAGGTTGTGTGCCTTCACGAGGCTCTGTGGGGTCAGCAGCAACAAGATCCAGGGGTGATGCCAAGCGCAGGCGGGGCGGGGCCTGGAAAGGGACATAGCCCGCGGCGGGGCCTGGGTCTTGGATCTGGGCCCAGCACCCCCGGTGGGAGCTCCCGCAGCCTGGGGGTCGGGCTGGGGTCTCACTGGACAGGCTGCACTCCTCCTGCAGGGGACCCCAGGCCATGTGACCAGGCCACTTGTTGGCTGTGCCTGGGGGTGCGCGAGACCTTAGCCTCCTGCACAGACAGGTACGCACCCGCCCCTGGGCCTACACAACCAAACGCTGTGCCCACCCCTATAAAGGCACAGACACACACCCGTGTGCCACACAGCACCTCGTACACACACGCCGCACACACGTACCCAAGTGGACATGTGCACATGCATGAAGTATAAACACACAACCACACGCGTGCTCTACCCATGCCGATCTGCAAGCACACACTGAGCCACCCACGTGCATTAGCAACGTCGCACAGCTGACAGGCAGGCGCACGGGTGCACACACAACCACAGGTGTGCCCAACGCGCTCCGACTCACACACAGGCATCCGCACGCATGCACACGCTCATCCGCGGGTCCACTCGAACACGTGCGCACACATCCGTGCACGGGTATGTAAGGGCACAGATGACCACGTCCTCTCCACTGGAAACATCCGTCTACCTTTCCCAGTGGTGCCCACGTCGGGCAGACCTAGCCCAAGCCCCGTCTCCTCCAGGAAGTCTGCCATGATTGCCCACTGCACTGAATTCCTACAGCAGTGGTTCTCAACCTTCCTCACGCCGCGACCCTTTCATACAGTTCCTCATGTTGTGGTGACCCCCAACCATAAAATTATTTTCGTTGCTACTTCATCACTGTAATGTTGCTACTGTTACGAATCGTCATGTAAATATCTGATATGCAGGATGTATTTTCATTGTGACAAATTGAACATAATGAGAGCGTAGCGATTAATCACAAAAACAATATGTAATTATATATGTGTTTTCCAATGGTCTTCGGCGACCCCTGTGAAAGGGTCGTTCGACCCCCAAAGGGGTCGCGACCCACAGGTTGAGAACCGCTGTCCTACAGCGTCAGCACGAGGCACACTGTCCCTCACACATCCTTCCCTACTGCCGTGTGTGTGTGTGTGTGTGTGTGTGTGTGTGTGTGTGTGTGTGTGTGTTATCCAAACTCAAAGCTGAGGTCCTCCCGGCCCTGGCCTCCCGCCCCCACACACCACATACTCCCCTTGAAGATCAAACAGGATCCCTGCGCCCTCTCCGAGCCTTCGCCTGCGCTGACTCCCACTCGAATGCCCACCCACTGCTTCCCACAAGCCTCGCCGCCCCGCGCTCCTGCCCGCAGCCTCCTGCTC